TGCCAAAATCCTTAGTCCTGGGACTGCAGCAGAAAACTTTTATTGGATCCATTCTGCTCCTACTCAACTCAATGGCAGAACTCTTATCCACTTCACCAGGTGTAGGTTCAGAGTCAAAAACTGAACCTCTATAATCTTATTTCCTATGTTCATTCAAAATATCCCATGCATTTTATATCAAAGTTGTAAAAAAAAAATCTGACCCTCGCTCTCTTTGCATTTCCTTTCCTATATGCACCATTACCACAGCTCAGATCAGTTCACACGATTTATCAGCAATTCCTGCTATATGCCTCAAAGAAGGGAGTTTAATAGTGTGACTTGGTGTGACAGTGAGCAAGCTGGTTCATGAAAGGAGAAAAAACTGCTAGAAAAGAAAAAAAATGAAAGAGAGCCTGCAGCCATGTAAGAAAGGCAGAAGCAATATCAAGAGAGCTAATTTTAGATCTCAGTAACCTCAGGGTTTACTTGGAAGAGAAATGAGATCAATGATAGACTGTGGTTAGGGGGACAAGGGCAGCAACCCGAAAAACTGGAATTGAAGAAATTCACCTTAGGAAGTGCAACTCAAATCTTACCATCCATTGCGGAGGCGAACTAACAAATTTGGAGTTCAAAAAGTTTCTTGCTGCATGTGAGTATACAAACAGATCTATATATAGTGTTGGAGATAAACACATGTAACCGGATAGCACTAACACAGTGGATTTTGTATATTAGACTTGGAAGGACTACACTGAATATAAAAATAAGGCTGTTACTGATTTTAGTATAGTTATTAAGAATGATTTGCAATTTAAAACATAGGGAACTGAACTAGAAGTGGGGAAATCTGGCTTTTATTTCACTGGCTGTGCTACAAACTTAAAGTCAACGTGGACACATTACTTTAGTGTTCTCTATACCTTGATTTCTCCAAGTTACAAAAAGTGGTGTGTGCATTTCTTTATTTTGGGAGCTCTGGGTGAAAAGTGCCCTATATATGTATGTTAACATCAAGACACACCATTTAACATTAGACACTTCTCAAAAAATGCAAGGGAATTGGTTTCTGGGCACAGGAAAGGAGGGCCATCAGGAAAGAAACACAGTGAGCTTTAATGTGCAGTAGCCTATTTTACTGCACATTGTCACATAAAAAAATATGCAATTATGCTAATGCACAGTAAAATAGGCTACTGCACATTGCATCACTTTAAAACTGTGCGCATTAGTTACTGTGCATTAAGGCGGCCTCATGTGCATTTCTTTTGTATCTTACTTTGGAGGTACTAAATTTAGTGTGTCCTAGAAAAAAGCATTTTAATGCATGTGTAGACACGCCCTGTGTGAAGTAGCCCTTTTCTTGTCTTTCATGGCCATCCTACCATAGGAGAACTAGCCTAAACACTTGTCTGTAGTTGTGGCTATTTCCCAAGTGGAAAGTCACTTAGTGTGCTAGTGTGCTCCACTCCTACCCCTGCGTGCTTGGTGTAATAGCAGAAGTTACAAGGCTGAAATGTATGCTGCTCCTTTTTTAGTGCAACTGTAAGGCGATCTCCATCATTTCTTCCCTCCTTATCATGATGCCATTGCTGACAGAATAGCTCCCATATGTGCTGTACCAGGATGGCTCCATTCTGTACCAGCTTGAAAGGCAGGGCTTATCCAAAATTCAGTCATTTCCCGAGATCCTTTCCATTATTTTCTATATCTGATGTTAAAGGGTTAACAAGTTATTAAACTGTGGTTATGTCGTGGTCAATAGACTTCTGATAATTCTTGGAATAGCATCTGGCAATGCCAAATGCAAGCTGTAATGTACCTGTTTTAGCTCATCTCATTATAAATAAACAAACCTAATCTGACTGGGTTACATCCCAATTATTGGAGTTCATTCAAATAGAGTTTAAAATGGAAATGCTGACAGGACTTAACTACAGCAGTGTGAATGGTACTGCTACAGTACTTTACTGAACAGGCATAATGCCCACTTTAGCAAATGAATGTATTTCCATGTTCAGCTGCTGACTTTTTTTTAAAGGCAAGAAATGTGGGCAGGAATACAAAATGTTGTCAGCTTTCCCCCTGATCTTTCAAAAATGAAATAAATAGGAAATACCATGGTAGCCAATGGGACAGTATAGATTTTGCATGTTTCCAGATGTTGAAAAAATGAATTTACAAGTGTGTGAAGTTAAATGCTTAACACTTTCAAATAAGATTTTTCGAGAGAACTTTTTTTCCCTGCAATTATAGGCATTGTTGGCACATAAAACTCTTTGATCTGTATGTACTCAACCAGACAAACAGAACACCAGATAAACTAGTTCAACTCCTATAATTTTAAATGGAGCTGCTCTAAATAAAGCATAGTTCAAAAGTAGTAATTTTCAGTGTACCTACATAGTTATAGAAGGTTGTCAGCAGGAGTCTATAGTTCCTGAATTAATCCTTGGACTAGATTTGTCCCACCTGCCTCACAGACCTCTCTATTTCTTTCCCTCTTCCCACTTGCCTGGGTCATCTAGAACTGGCCTTTATAGCCCTTTGACAGAACATTCTCTCTCTTTTTTTCCTTATCCAATGTAATGACTTTCTGTATCTTTTTTTAATTTTTATTTAACATTTTTATACCTATCTTGGTTCCAGGTTCTTCTCACATTCCAGGTCCTTCTCTTCTCTCTGTTACTGTTTTCTTATAGAAAGCTTGTTCTTAGACACCACACTACAGTAAAATCCCACAGTCCTCACTTAGATGAAAGCTGTGCTGAAGTTAGTGGATGTTCTGCCTGAGTAAGAACTGTAGGATTTGGCCATTTCTCTTTACGTTTTTCACCAACACATATACTGTACTGTTTTGTATTATTTAATTCTGTACAGAGTGTATTTTGGGAGACAGTATGTATAAATGAAGTTATAATGTACTGTATATATTATATTGTAGTACTGAGACAAGGTAGCAACATTGGAAAAGAAATTAAAGTTAAAGAGACAAGAAGAAGGCAGAGAAGCGTGTCATATTTCTTTTGACTTTATAATACCACCAAAATTACATCTGCTCTTCATGCATTTTCCAGAGGGAGGATTCCTGGACCTTGCTTCAATTATATTTGAGATGCAAACCTCCAGCAAACTCAGCTTTTTCTCTTTATATGATTGCTGCCTATCCCTCCCCACCACCCCCTTGCTTCCTTACATTTTGATTTAGCCTATAGTTTCTTGCCAGCTGATTGAAATAACAACCATTTCAGTCACCTGTTTTTAAGTCTCCCAGCCCATCCATTTTTAGTGCGAGTGCATCCTACTAATCAGCAGATTGGGAGGTCTGGGTTTTAGAATATTCTGATGCCATGAGGTTCACCTGAGAAACAACCAACCCTCTTCCCCAAGCCGCTGAAACCCAATAACTCCATCTTTAATGAGACAGGCACTTGGCTACGACTGTTAGAGCATGACAATAATATTAAATGTGAGTGAATACATATATATAGATATAGCTATAGATATACATCATGGGAAGTCTTCAAACCGGTAAAGCTGCCCTGAGGCCCACTGCTGCTGCCACCAGAGAGTCCCACCGCTTCAGGGGCTGTGCCAGCAGGGTAGCGGGCAGCGTTCTTGAGAGGCGAGTGCAGGAAATACACTGTGGGGCATGTGCTGCGGGTACTGCTCAGGGGGGCCCTGCCACTGCTGCAGCAGTCCAAAGCCATTGCCAGAAAGTGAAATCCGGGCTGCAGCTCCAGGCACCCCAGACATCTGGAGCCAGCAGCGGTTTGTGCAGCTCCTGGGCCTGCCTGGTGCAGGCAGTGGGGCGTCTGCTGAGAGGCAGAAGCATCCAGAGGCTGCCTCCCCCATCCAGGACCAATTTTTTCCCAGTTTGGAAAATCTCAGGGGGGCTTTGGGAGCACCAACCCCGAATGCGGGACTATCCAGACTTGGGACCTCACTGACCTACACCAGTGCGGCCAAGCACTAGGAGAGGGCCCGGGAGACGGGCGAAGAGGCGAGCGCGGGGCAGCGCCGGGGCAGAAGCATCCAGAGGCTGCCTCCCCCATCCAGGACCAATTTTTTCCCAGTTTGGAAAATCTCAGGGGGGCTTTGGGAGCACCAACCCCGAATGCGGGACTATCCAGACTTGGGACCTCACTGACCTACACCAGTGCGGCCAAGCACTAGGAGAGGGCCCGGGAGACGGGCGAAGAGGCGAGCGCGGGGCAGCGCCGGCTCCCACGGCCCCGGCTGGGGGGCGGC